TCTTCTTCGGATGTTCAGCAGAAGCTGATGGCTGAATGCCGTTACCACAGAATAAAACCTTACATGCCGTATAAATGTTACATGGGTGTTATGCTGGTCCTCTACAAGAGGGAGGAAACACTGTCTTTGCTGATCCATTGGAATACTCCGCTCCCCTGCAGTGACTTCTGAACTCTTTAATGAACCCCACAACTGCTGCAGTAACTCCAGCCAGACTGAAACCTGAAAGCTGCCGAGCCCCCGAAAAATGCCTTCGTAACCCACCGTTGCCTGCCTTGTTCCACGTAGGGATGTGGCCTTGCAGGGAATGGCACGCCGTGCAGATTGCTGGCTATTCTTGTCTCTCCCTCTTTGGGGAGCGGTAGCAACATGAGATATATTAACTCGCTTTATGCCTTCTTTTGATATTGTATAAATAGAAGCTACATTAACGTTTTTGTGAAGCTGAAGTTAAACTTGTCTTCTCTGCGCTTTTACTTTGATTGCGGTCATGATGTAATGCTTACAGCGATTCCATCTGACAACTAATGAACCATGAATCCAGGGGAAGTTTAGTGTTAGATACTTTCCAGTGAGGGATTTTGTCAAATACCTAACTTCTGAATCTATTGTGATCTGGCTATCTCCCTTATATATGTATTTGGCTGATAGTCCTGTAGTTGTATAACCTAAGACTGATGAGGAAATAAAAGCACAAAGAATTGCTACCCACTTAAAAATTTATAGTGATGGATTTGGACATTTAATCATTCCATTGCAGAAAAAGAGCTGCCTGGAAGCTGCGTGTCGTTTGTGAATTGCTCTTCCCTCCTGTCATTTCTCTCTACTGTTCTTATAAATATCGCTAAGTGCAACCTTACTTTACAACAAGTAGTTTCTTCCGTGCCAAGTCTGACAAGTGGGTTTCGTGTCTTATTTGTTTTATTTTTCAACATGTTTCAATAACTCTGGTTTGACACGTTATTGCTTTCTTAATGGTGATTTGTAATCCTGTATAAATTAGCTGTGTTTTATATTGACAGTGCGAGAAGCAAAAAACCTAATTCCCATGGATCCAAATGGACTTTCAGATCCTTATGTTAAACTGAAGCTCATCCCAGATCCTAAGAATGAAAGTAAACAAAAAACAAAAACCATCCGTTCTACTCTGAATCCAGACTGGAATGAGTCATTCACATTGTAAGTTTAACACCTTTTAATGTAGTATCTTTGTATGGATTGAATCGTTTATTTCAGTGTTGCATTGAAAACTCCTCTATTTCTCTCCTTTTTAGTAAATTAAAACCTACAGACAAGGATCGACGGTTATCTGTAGAGGTCTGGGACTGGGATCGAACAACCAGGAATGATTTCATGGGATCTCTTTCATTTGGGGTGTCAGAGCTTATGAAGATGCCAGCCAGTGGATGGTAAGAGTTTTGGAAAAGAGAGAAGGAGAGAATATATCACAAAAAGTTTAAAATCAGTATTTTTCTTCAACATAGTCGACCTTTTTTGGAGCTCTTCACTGTATCTCAGGCTATAAATTCACTGAAAATGCAACTAATCCTAGGAAACATAGGCTATATACAACAAAGGAGGATAATAAAAGGAATGCTTTTCTTCTGTGTTGTTCATGAAACTTCTGCTGGAGCCAGGAGCTGCTGCAAACTCAATTCTGTGTACATAGTCTTGTGATATGAATTTTATTTTTATCTCAAATATTATATATTCATTACTAAGTGTATCATGTTATATATAGCTCTGCAAATTCAAAGTACACGGGAACTGACTTAATAAATGCCATCTTATTACCTACAAAGCTAGGGGTAGAACTCATCACATCTTCTCAAAAAGTACATTTCATCCAAGATAATTGTTTAGGGCTATAGAAGCGCCGGAGACAAAGGTTCTTCAGGGTTGGTATCTCCCATCATATCACAGGATGGGAGGGAAGAATTTCCTTGTCCGTTAAACTGCCTTGGCGCACAGTTTGGGATTAAAGATCTAATTTTAGGTTAAATATATTCTGTTTCTGAGTTTGCTTTAGAACTTTGAAAGCAGTTCTTTACATACCTGTGACATTGATATAAACCACACACAAACAACTAAATCTGATTTTAAATCTAACAAGAATATAACTGTAAAGTCACTGTTTTTTTCTTAAATGTTCCACAGGTACAAGCTGCTGAATCAAGAAGAAGGTGAATATTATAATGTTCCAATTCCAGATGCTGATGAAGATGGAAATGCAGAGCTCCGACAGAAGTTTGAGGTGAGGATTAAACACAAATGGGTGCAACTACATTTTTCACTTTAGGACAAAAATTGCCTGTTAAAAAGTTGTATATTAGAGTGCTACTATTTCCATTGCCTGTGACAGCAGTATGTACCTTTGGGTTTCTTGAAGATTGGACCAAGTGATTTAATTCAGTAGTGGTATCATTTTTCTGACAGTTCAACTTCTCTGCTATGACACTTAAAATATTTTAAAATACCAACTTATATGTCAAGTATATGTAATAATTTCAGTGTATTTTAATACTTGCTGCAAAATCTGCCAGCCGTTATCACTAGTATCTATAATACTTGATAAATGAAGTTCTCAGAAACAACAGTATTTTAATACTTAGAATGTTTCACACTAAATGTGGGGGGAGTGGGTTAAGAAAATATTTACAGTGTTATTTACTGATTATTTGGAGCCTCAAAATCTTCGTAGAAGGTTGTCATCTAAAATTCTGATATCTTTAACGTGGGTATGGAAGTTTTTAAGGATCAGAGGTATTGCTGGTTATGTACAGAAAAGTAACACTGAAGAAAAGCGATGCTTTCCGCAGAGTCTTCCTGCCTTCTGTGGTGCAAATTGGAGTGGTTGGTAGTCACAAGCATGGTCTCACCGTGCCATGCAAAGGAGTTGTTTCTTAATGAACAGACTTAGCCAGCAACTCTACCTCTTCTGACAACTGCAGCCGGTATTACAGCAACATACTTGCTGGCCACTAAACCCAGCAACAGGAAAGGTATGGTTTGGGGAGGGAGGTGTTTTGCTAATGGCTGTACTGGATTCAGCTCATCTGACTTGACTGCTCTTTCCAGCTGCATATGCAATAATGAATCTGAAATATTCCGATCTACAATATTGTTTTTTTTTTTCTGGTCGAACATTTACAACTTTAGTCTAGCTGTTTATCCAAAAAGTAATTAATGTACCATAGTGCATAAACAAACACTTACACCTGTTCCTCTCAACCTGAAATGGCAATTTTTTATGTTCACCATCAGGCAGAATTCTACATTGTTATTATAAAAGATGGGTTAACCCAAGGAAGTGAGGAAAAACGGCATATGTTCAACTTTCAAGAAAGAAAAAGAAAAGGTGCATCAATTTCTTCTGAACACATTTGGATCAGCTACCATACTTTTGTCTGCAGCATGAACTATGATTTTTGTTATACATTTGAGAAGTATTTGAATCTCCATTTCATTTTCCTTTCTTTACAGTTGTGATCTGACCAGTGTGATTTTATTTTGCTGCACTAGGTCATTTTCTTTTTATCTTCCCTAGAAAGAATAGCGTCAAAAGTAATTCTTTTCACCCCTTACATGTCTCTGTGCAATATACAGAGTCGGGAATTGGGGGGATATGTGTATGTTGGTGATACAGGTATGGAAATCTACCTGGTTTTTCTCAGGACAGAGGCAGCACGAAGACAAGTCACTAAAATTATCTGTTTTAAAATGTCAGTTATTATATGCAGTATGTTTGCATATTGAATTTACAATCTCTTAGGGTTTTTTTCTTAAGCCTACAACATTGGTTGCAGAATGAACAATGAGGGTTTATCTGTATCCTGCAATGAAGTGGAGTAGAAATCCTGAGAGGTTGCTGTGTAAATCGTGTAAAGCTACTGGACTGGGTCCCAGAAACAGCAGCTTCACATAGGGTCAGCTCTGCCTCAGAAATAATTAGTCTGTCTCAAAGTCTAATTAGTTCAGCTTCAGCACCGTGTATTTGAGGCTTTCCCTGTTCTGGAGGTAGCCTGGTTGATGCTATTTTAGGGGTCTGAATTAATCAAGGAAAGGGAATATGTTCTCAGTGAACACAGTGTCTCCAGGAATTTACAGAGTTGCATAACGAACAGTTTTAAAACTTAGTGACGATATATGGGAATACTGGTAGCCAAACAAAATGTGTAATTATAACTCGACCAAGGCTAGTATAATGCAGTATTACATGGTAAAAGGATTTAGGGTCGACCTCTTACTCTTTCTCAAAGTTTACCACTGTGAGAAGGAATGGAGGGAAGCGGCACCCTCCAAGTATCGTTCTTGCTTGGTTTCAAGGGGAATTACTGTGATGGCTTATAAAAATTAACAGCACAGATGTCTGAATGGTGGTATTTAACTTATTAGCTATTCTGGTATGGTACATAAGTGGTGCTGACTCTGATCATCTTTTACGCTATTTTTCTTATCAGTTATATCTTGGCTTACATAGTCATTTTATTTTAGGTACCCTATACTAAGGAACAAGTAGATAGCGCTGAGAAATATGCTGCTATTTGTGATTAATGACATCATCTAAATAAATATTTCCACTCTTCTGAAATCAGCTTTGAAACCTTACAGGAAGAAGATTGCAGATCTTGACTGCCATTTTACTAGGGGAGTGTATTTGTCAGGAAGATTCAGAATATAGATAGACTGAGAGGTCATACTGGGCTATCTTCTTGTTTATCAGTTTATAGAAAAGAGTAACTTCAGAGTGCTTGCTAATCAAGTCTACATTTGTGGTGCTTGGTCTACTTTTCGATGTATGACAGTGTGATTGATATCTAAGCTACATTGATTTAATTTTGAGTTCAAAATTACAACAATTTCTACAGAAGTATTGCATTACTAATATCAAATGCTTAAAATGAATAATGGTGGTCTTCAGAGTAAAGAGCTATATACAAACCTAAGCTATGCAGGAATAGAGAAGCTTTAGGATGAGAATTTCATTGCTTAATATTAAGAAAGAATAAGAATATTTTCGGGTTATAAAGGATCAGAGAACCGGTAGATGTGAAATTTCTGAAACCAGTTTCTGGTCTTAAAAAAAAAAAAGTCTATGACATTCTCAAAACTGACTTTGCCCTTTTGACTAAGGTTTAGAAATGTGCTTAGTAGAATCTCCAAGAGCGCTTAGGAGCTACCTCCCATTTAAATCAATGAGAATTTTTAAAATATCTGCCTGCATCTATAGTTCAACAGACATGTTTAAGATTTGGCCTCAAGCTCTCATTGATTTCAAACTGTTTACACAATCCTATCACATCCTTCTAGCTCCACTTTAACAACCCAGACTTTTATTTAAATGTGGTTGTTATTCACACAAATCTCATTGGTATGCTGCTTTACTTACTGGGCCTTCTGACACAGATTCTTTAAGTCATTTATTTGATGTAAATCTACCATAAAATAGCTATACGAGATTATAAATAAGTAAATAAATAATAGGTTGAAACATTCTCTTCACTTGCACTTGTAATGGAACAGTAAAAACTATTTGTCATGAGAAGTTTCCTCATGGCCCATTCCGCCAGACCTAAACCAGTTGAAAAATTCACACCTTACTTGTGCCCAGTAGTTTTAGATCCTGTCCAACAAATGGGACCAAGAAAGAGAAGAGTTGAGGAGGACAGTGATTTCATTAATGGAATCATGCAGTGACCTCGCTGAGTACTTTTAGATTTTACTACAAGGAGTTTTCTTTTTATAGACTGTCTATGTATTATTTATATGAAGTTGTACAGCATATAGAAATTGAGGTATGTTATGCATAGGTGCCGTGCAGTATTTTTTATACAAATTTTAATCGATCTACATGTTTTCTGGATCTCACCTGTCACTAAAACTTACGAATCAATTATCTGCTCGTTTAGCAGTATGATCAAATCTGTCTTCAGTGATTTATAGATGATACATCATCACTAATATTTAGAGATAAAAATATACTCCTGTAGGAAGTGGAGGCAGGATAAAATCTGTCAGTGTTTTTCATTTGGTTTTAACCTTTGGTTGTGAATTTCCTCTCCGGAATGGCATTATTTGTGGCCATCTCAAAATCATGCAGTGACCTCGCTGAGTACTTTTAGATTTTACTACAAGGAGTTTTCTTTTTATAGACTGTCTATGTATTATCTATATGAAGTTGTACAGCATATAGAAATTGAGGTATGTTATGCATAGATGCCGCGCAGTATTTTTTATACAACAAATTTTAATCGATCTACATGTTTTCTGGATCTCACCTGTCACTAAAACTTACGAATCAATTATCTGCTCGTTTAGCAGTATGATCAAATCTGTCTTCAGTGATTTATAGATGATACATCATCACTAATATTTAGAGATAAAAATATACTCCTGTAGGAAGTGGAGGCAGGATAAAATCTGTCAGTGTTTTTCATTTGGTTTTAACCTTTGGTTGTGAATTTCCTCTCCGGAATGGCATTATTTGTGGCCATCTCAAAACTAAACTCCGTTCTCAACAGGCATATTCAGAATAATTGTAGCTGCTCCATAATTGTCCATGCTGAGGTTGCCATGGGAACTCCCAACAGTCCCAGGTGGCTCCATGGACCCAAACTAGCAAGTCTTTTAACTGCAATATGTACTATTTGTTATATACTTATTTTCCTGTTATAGTATTTTGCTAGTCAAAGAAAAAAGCAGAATATTGAAATAATGCAACCTTACTGTATTTTTAATACTGGTTATGATTTGAGCGGTAATATGTTTTTGCCATTTAGGGCATTGTTCTGTTTTTTATATGGGGAAAAGAAATGTGCAAATTCTAAAACTTCTATTGTAAGAAGTTATTTCAGTTTTGTCAAGCCCTGTTTCCTGTAATTTGCTGCTTAGTAAAGCACTTCTTGATACTTAAATATCACCTTAGAATAATACTGGTTTAAAAATAGGCTGGTTACTTATTCTGTCTGTCCCCTTCTTTCCACATCACCATCATGGAAAACGTTATTAAAAATAAAGCAGCTGTTATGGTCCATATCAATGATTTTTTTTTAATTAAAAAAGAACAGAGTAGCAATAATCCTTACATGTGGATACATTTACCAAATACAAGGTATATTAAGTGATGGAGTGACCTGAGTCACTACAATCAGCTTTGGTAATTGAAGTGATCCAAGCAAGTCATTACGAGGGAATAGGTTACTGCTCATATAATCTTCATTGTAAGGCATCTGTGGGGAAGGTTTGTAACAGCCC